ACACACACACACACACACACACACACACACACACACACACACGGGATAGAGACATGTGCCTGATTATGCATGTGGAAACCACAAGGGGCTTCTGGTTCCTCTTGCAACATTCTCCACCTGTTTCTCAGAGGCAGGTCTCTGTGAAATGGAGGCTTCAGAATCAGCTAGGCTGAAAGCCAACAAACTCAGCAATCCTCCTGCCTCCACCTCCTTGGAACTGGTGTCACAGCATATGCAGGGACACCCAGCTTCCTGTGTTGGTGTTTGAATTTGAGCTTTGGTCCTCACAATCACAAAGCCAATGCTCTGAAACACTCTTAACATTTTTTTAAAGTCCTTGTAGCCCTGACTGGCCTTGACCTTGTTGTGTAGTCAATGACATTAAATTCCTGATCTCAGTACCTCCCAACTACTGGGATTACAGTTGTGTACCAAACCACTTTAAGAAAGGCCACCTTGGGCTATAGAGATGGATCCGATGGTTAAGAGCACTGGCTGCTCTTCAGGAGGTCCTGAGTTCAACTCCTGCATCCACATATATCACAACGATCTATAATGATATATGGTGTCCTCTTCTGGCATACATGCAGGCATAACACTGTATACATAATAAATAAATAAATTTTTTAAAAAAAGAAAGGTCACCTTGGCTGGCTGGTGGTGGTACCAGCCTTTAATCCCAGCACTCTAAAGGCAGAGCTAGGCGAATCTCTGTATGTTAGAGGTTAGCCTGGTCTACAGAGTGACATCCAAGACATGCAACAAAACAGATCTTTATGAGCTCAAGGCCTGTCTAGTCTACATAGCAACTTCCAGGCCAGCTAAGGCTACATAGTGAGTCCTTGTTGCAAAAATATCATTTTTGTTGGTATAAATGTATGTAATATAAGCTATATCATTTGAACTCTGCAATATACAGCTCAGTGGCTTACAGCACATTCATTCTGTGGAGCAGCCACCATCACTATTCAGTACCAGATGTGCACGCACACATTGATGTATACATATATATTACCTTCTCTCCCAGAATGTCCCAAAAGAACAAAGCAAAAAACAAAGGTGTTGGAAGTACAGTGGTAGAATAATAACACAGATGGGAACAGTCTCATCAGCCATTGACATGGACAAAGTCAGACACTAAGAAAGTGTGTCCTGAGGGAGGAAAGGCAGGTCAGCAACCGAGGAGATGCCTCAGTCCTCAAGTACCGGCCTTATGTCCTGGTTAGTTATTTTGTCAATGAGACACAAGCTATAGTTATCTGGGAAGAGGAACCTCAGCTGAGAAAAGGCCTCTATCAGATTGCCCGTAGGCACGTCTGTAGGACATTTTCCTGATTGGTGATTGATGTGGGAGGCCCAGCTCACTGTGGGTGGTACCATGTCTGGGCAGAGGTCCTGGATGCTATAATCCAAGCAAGCTGAGCAAGCCATGGAAAGCAAGCCAGTGAGCAGCACCCCTCCATGCCTTCTGCCTCAGTTCCTGCTTCCAGGTTCCTGCCTGGAATTCCTGCCCTGACTCCCCTTGATGATGGAACGTGACTGGGATGTGTAAGCCAAATAAACCTTTTCGCCCCAAGTTCTTTGGTCATGGAGTTTTTCACAGCAATAGAAACTTGAACTAGTTCACCTCTGGATCACAAAGTCCTGAATCGCATCCTCAGGGACCTGTGTGTGTTGCCATGCACTTGTAATCCAGCACTTCAGGGGGAAGACAGGTGGAACCCTGGGGTTCACTGCCAGCTGGCCTAGACCATTGGTGAGTTCAGCCCAGAGCAACACACACACACACACACACACACACACACACAGAGAGAGAGAGAGAGACAGAGACAGAGACAGAGACAGAGATCATCTGAGGTCTCTTTGCTTAGACACCAAAGAGAAAATTGCAAAGCAGAGTATTGTTGAATTGGCTACAAAAATTAAATTATGGAAAGAGAATTAATAAGCCAATCACAGCAATCAATACTTGTTGCACATATTTCTCTGGGTGTGATATCTTTGTACTAAATGAGGATAATTTGCACGGATAAAACATTTCTTTTGAGGGCTGTGCATGCAGCTCAGTGGTGGAGTGCTTGCCTAGGGTCAACGACGCCCTGAGTCCATCTCAAGTGCTACACACAGGAGTGGTCACACACACTTGTGATCCATGCACTTGGCAAGTGGAGGCAGGAGAGTCAGAAGTTCAAGGTCCTCTTCAGCTATATAGTAAGTTTGAGGCCAGCCTAGAGTACAGGTGATTCTGTCTTTAAAAAAAATGGAAATAAAATTAAAATGTCTTTTTTATCATTAATTTTAATATTTTAAAAACAATGTGCAGGAATATTCAGTAGTGAATTAATTTAAAAATACCGATGGAAGAAGTCACAGTGGAAGTGAGGTGTAATTCAGTGGCAGAGCCCTTGTCTAGTGTGGGTGTGGCCTTGGGGACCATCTGAAGTTCTGCTAAAGGAAGAAAAACATGGTGTGTCTGCCAGAAGCAGAGAAAGGCATGGCTGCCTTAAATTGATTGTTCTACAAGTGCCTAACAGATTATCACCAAGGCTGGAGACATTGGGAAAGGAGGAAGAGGGAGGAGGTGGAAGAAGAGAAGCCATTTAGGAAAACGTGTAGGAGACACAGGAAATACAGATGTAAGGTGCCTGTCAGTTCTGGCTGTGGAGTTTATCCTGATCCAGCACAGGGTTAAGATGGTTAAGTGTTTTGCCAGGGAGAGGCGGGTGAGTCTAACTTGGAAGGGACAAACCCACTTATCATTGGCACTGCTGAGAATTGGCAATGAAATTAATTATGATTATTGTTTGACTATTAATTTTATAATTTATTTTCTAAAAATGTATTTTTATTAAATTTTGGCACATACATAATGGTGCATGAATGTGTGTACATTTGTGTGTCTCTGTGTGTGTGTTTGTGTGTGTGCCAGATGATAACCTTGGGCGTTCCTTCCTCATATGTCATACACATTATTTGTAAGACAGGCCATGAAAACACTTGTAACCACAACACTGGAGATGGAGGATCAATAATGCTTTGTAGCCCATCAGCCAGGTGTAAACAGTAAGGTCCAGGTCAGTGAGAGAACCTGCCTCTAGGGAATGAGGGAGGTCTTACAGGAGGACCCCCAATGTCCACCTCTCTGGTTTTCCCATGTACAAAAATAGGGTACATGTAACACACACACACACACACACACACACGAACCCACACATACACACATGCACACACATCCATACTCACACCATATAAACATGCTCCACAAAATCAAGATAGAAGGAAGGCAAGCAATAGTGTGAACTCCACAGAGGCCACATGTCTACTGGTTGAGAGATGTTTGGAGGTAAAGGTCCCTTTCGAGGCCTGTTCCTCACCAGCATGACCTTGGGCAGGGTGGAATTGTGCTGGTCTCCCTGTCTCTCTCTGTATAATGACCATGAGAGTGCCCAGCAGTGGTGACAGGTGGCTGGGGTAATGTCCACACAGTGACTAGGCTGGGCCTGTGTGCACTCTGTGTGGAAGCTGCAGTTACAGCTGCCATGGAGGAGGAGAAGTGACCAGAGAACCTGATCATGGTGAGAACATGAGGGTCTGTGTGGGAAAGATGGGGGATGGGGAGGAACGAGGGGAAGAGGGAAATGAGGGAGGGGAAAAAAGAAACTGGGGCAGGGAGCCATAAGGGATGTGTCTAGAGACTAGTGAAGAGGGGGGACCCAGAGGAGGAGGGGTACCCGGGACCAGAAGGCACCTACTGTGGAAGGCACGAGATATGGTGTAAAGTCTAGATCTAATGGAGACCCTGACACAGGACCAGGTGAAGGCTGCTCCGTCCTGGAGAGGCCAGATCCACGTGAATTTGTGTCAATGAGGGTGGGGTGGGCAGGGCGGTAGTCAGTTTGGAGAAAGGAGCAGGAGACTGGGCTCTGGGAAGAGCTGACTGGGGGTGGGGTTGATCTGGGGGCAATGAGGGGCAGCTCAGAGAGAGCAGCTAAGGCTTGGGGATGGTTGTGGGGAAGAGGAAAGGTGGGGTTGTCAGAGCTCTGGGGAGGGGACAGAACACATGAGAGGAGTCTGTGGGAAGGAACAGAGTGTAGGATCCCTAATGACATCTGTGGTACAAGGAAGCCAGGGTCACCAGGGCCTGACCTGGGATGTGCTCACTAGGAGTGATGGTGAGGTGGGTCTCTTCAATTGACAGCCACACCTCCATACCATATCTCGTGTTCAGACTAACGTGGCAGAAGTATTTTGTCTGGTCCTTTTTCTTCAAGTTCAGGATTCTGAGGACTCCAAATGTCTGAGGCTGTGTCCAGTTCAGGATGAGCCTGCTCTTGAAATGCTTATATATGAAAGGTGGGGTGGAGTTGTAGATAAATTTCCCATGGAATTGCTCCCATCTCCAGAGAATCCTCATCTGTGGATCCTCTGCCAACTCCCAGGGGAAGTAGAAGGAAAAGGGGATCTCGATGGAGCCGCCCTGGACACCAGAGAGTTTTGCTGGTTGGTTGACCCCAAAGGCATTTACTCTGTTAGATCCTGCAGAGTTACCTGGGAAGTACGGAGAGCATCTGAAGCCACTGCAGGAATGGTTAGGACAACCCAGACCTTCCTGAGCCTTCACCCACAGGCAGGGGTGGGACACAGGGCAGGACAGTCCTTATGTCCCACTGTCCCATATGGAAAGACAAGGAAAGGTTGGGCTGGACCCACTCTGAGGATGAGCTCTCTCTTGGGGCACAGAGCACTGTCTGGCTCCTTCAGCAGACCCTTGTCCACATGACAGCCTGCTCTTCCCAGCCCCACTGGCCCCTCCTGTGGTTAGGGCAGAGTCCCTGCTAACAAGGTCCCCACCACTCACCAGCTTGCAGACAAGCAGCTGACATCAGCAGAAGCAGGATCCAAGCCATGGCCTGATTCCCTCCAGGAAGTGAGACCAGCAGAGCCATCAGACAGGAGAGGAGCCCTGTGCAGGGACCCTGGGGTGCTCAGGAGTCAGGAAGAATCAGAGTAAAGTGGAACACAACCCCAGGGCCTTCTCATGTGGAGGACTGAGCCCGGGAAGAACCTCCCCATCTCCACCTCCTTGTGACCAGCAGCTTCCTTCATGATTCTGGCTTCTTCTTTCTTGTGTTACAGAAGATCCTCCCTGTGATCATTGAGAGGATGGCCGGGCCCTTGAGCCCAGCCCCCATTTTTGACAGGAACATAAGGAATTGACCTCAACATGCCAGGCTCTCCTCTCTTCCATCTTTACCTCCTATCTTATCCAGTCTCGTCCATTTCCCATGTGGCCTGTAATCACTGTTTCTTCACCTCCAGATTTCCTTCACTCCTGCCCTTTCCCTCTTCATCTGTTTCTCATTGTGTCTCCCACCATACTGGTTGTCTGTCTGTCTGTCTGTCTGTCTGTAGGTCTGTCTCTCTAATAACCTCAGGCACAGAAGTGGTCAGTTTCTGCTCACTTCAGACACAATGAGAATGGAGGTGATGAGGAAACACATTCACTCCCAGCCCTAGCTTGGTGTCCCCACCACCATCTGCTCTTTGTCCTCTTCTTGTCCTTCAGGGACTCTTCACAGCACCCGGCAGAACCAAGGCCCAGTGGACACTCTCGCCCTGGCCTGCTCACTGCTGCTGTAACTGCCCTGGTTTTCCTGGGTGATCGTCTCCCTCCCCTAGACACTGACTCCAAAGCTGCTCCAGTTTCTGAAGGAGACTTTCTACATCCCACCAGCCTCCACACACCTCAGAAGAGGATGCCAAGGATCAGAGAAGCCCTGGCACATGTCACATGACTGTCACAGGGCAGGTTGACTGGACTTCGTCCCATCAAGGACTTGTAGTCCTCCACTCCACACAGACTTCAGCCTGCCTGCTCCGTGCAGCCTCTGAGCTCTCCTCAAAGACCAGGGATCTGCTGCTGGGTTCCCAGGAGGTTGTTCCCACAAAACATTTGAGTGACTCCTTGTAGCTGTGGCTGTTCTAGAACCTTCTTTGGATGAAGTGGAAAAAAGACTCAGAGCAGCCATGTGTCACTCATGACATGTTGCCTGGGACATCTCTGACAGTGGACACACTGCCCAGTGACTAGGATGCAGGGGTGAGAGGTGGGGGTAGAGGCTCTGATGACCTCAGGCCAAGTTCTGCAGGAGGGTCATCCTACCCTTCCTCTTGACATGGTTCCATCAGTTCTGTGGAAGACAATTTTGTACCAGAGGAAGAGGCATCATTCTCTCTGAGTGACATGTGCAGAGGTGACTTCCCATTTCCTTAGATTCCTGCACTGATTGCCTTCTCCATGCTTCCCTGCAGGTGGCTGTGCAGCCGCCTCTGTCACATCTGCTGTCTCTGTCTTCCTCACATTCCCCACAGTTCCCATGGTTCTCTGATTTCTTGACCTGACCCAGGCTGAAACACTTATGGCTTCACTCCCAGCAGCACATGGACACACTTCTATGTCCATCTATCCTGCATTTGGAGACGCAGATACACAGAACCTTTGAGATGAGTTGGTCCCAGATGGTTAGTTAGGAGAGGGGTTAGGGTCTATTGAATCTGTCAGAAGGGCCCCTCTAACCTTTATTGAATGTGGCCTCATGTAGCCCAGGCTGGGCCTTGAATTTGCTATGTGCCCATGGATGACTTTGAAAACCTACAGATCCTCGTCTCTGCCCTCCCAAGGGCTGGGGTGACAGGTGTGCCCCATTGTGTCCCTTTGTCTCCTGCTGGAGATAGAACCTAGAGTTCTGTGCATGCCAGGCAGGTAAGCACTCTACCAGATGAACCACATCTTTATCCTCAGTGAAGTCCGAGAGAAGATCCTCCTGGTCATGGATACTCACCTCCAGGCTTTATCTGGTCTTTCCTTACAGTCTGGGTCTGTGGGTAAAAAGGTCACTGGATTGCTAACTCTCTGCATGAAAGGCTGGGCCTGATGAGGCTGCCATATGTCAAGTGTTAGACCCCAGCATTTTTACACAGCAGGCTCTGGTTGGATCTTCAGGACCCCAGCTGCCCCTTGTGCTCAGCCTCACTGCTGCCACCTGCTGGACCCTGAGTCCCAAGTCATGGACTCCATTGGAGTTCCAAGTCCTTAGTTGAATCACCATAGGGACCCTGTTGTGGATATTTTTATGCCCAGGATGCTGTAATCAGTCTCCTGCATTGCCAACTCCATTTCCCTCTACAGCAGTGACTGGGTCCTGCAGCCATGATGCTCTCAGAGGGGAGGGGCGCTTTCTGTGGAGGAGCAGCCTGGGGCTTTGGGGTGTGCACAGGGCTTCTGCACATATGACCATGGGGAGTGTCAGACTGCAGTGTGAGAACCTGGCTGCTGCTCAGACTGTAGCACATGTGTGCCCTGCCCTCACAGAATAAAGAAGGAAATGTAATTTTAAATATTTAAACACAAGGTGGGCTGGACATAAGGATGCATTCCTTTAATTCTACTTTTTTTTGCGGGGGGGGGGGGCGGCAGAGCAAGAGGCAAATGGATCTTTTTGAGTTCCAGGCTATCCTGATCTACATATACAGTTCCAGGCCTGCAAGAGCTATATAGTTACTGTTTCAAAAAAACAAAAGCAATCAAAATAAAAAACAAAATCCAAACCAAAGAACATAAACCACAAAAAAGAACCAAAAACCACAAGGTGAATGGTGTCCTGATTAGTAATGCCTGGGGCTGTCCTCTGGCTTCCACATGCACAGACTCACTTGCACACACACGCACATGAACACAGACACACACAATCATGCAAGGCACCTTTCACAGCTGATTTGTCACCACATGTTTACCCAGTCCTCATCCTGAGTAAACATGGTCTCCCCGGCCAGGCTCTGTGACTCTTCAGACTCCAGTTCCTGACAGTGACCCCAGCATTCAAACTCTGATTTTATACCCAGCTGTGTTTTCCCATAACAGTGGTGGCAGAGAACCGGATTGGCCCACCTATTTCTGGGTGAAAAATCCAGTTCCAGAAACTTCCCTCAAATAACCCACAGTGCAGACCCTGTGGGCCTGACACACCAGATAACCTCATTGAGGAAAACTGTCCATCTGTCTGCCCTTCCTGGCACACCACCTACCCTCCCACTCCTTGATTTCTTTCCCCCAGTGACAACATACAGACCCTAGATGTAACCAAAGACTAGCCCAGTTCTGGGTCCTGAGGAGAGTGGAGGAGATGCTAGAGAAGGTGGAAGGATGGCGGCTGGTGGTGTAGACAGGACACTCAGGCTGCACCTGAGACTTTACATTAGCACAGTTGCCCTGCCCCCATCTGACCTCTTCTTTCTCCCCTAGGATGACATCCTCATCTTCATCTCCCTCATGTGCTGCCCAACATCAGCATGGCACCTCCCTGTACCCCTGCCCAGGGGAGATCAAGAAGGGAATCTAAAGTGTCTTAAGGCTGAGTGAGCAGGGCTGGGTGATCAGCTCAGTGTTTTGCATGAATTCTCCCATCTTCTGCAGAGAGCTAAGGCCAGAGGCTGAAACTTACATGTTTGAGGTCACAGAAATGGAGAAACTCCCAATTTCCTCTTTAACACTGTATATTGCTTAAATGAAACTATAAATAGTCACATGATTTGTTTGAGAGAATCTAAAGAAAAAACTGGTGATATCTTCAAGTTCTCTGTCTCCTACCAAAGTGAACTAACAGATAACCAGCCTCCATGACCTTGCTGATGCTTTGGACTTATGGTTAGCTTGCTCTTTGTTTAGTTTTGAAACAGAGTCTCATGGAGCCCAGGCTGTCCTCAAACTCAGTAGGTCCTAATGACAGCCTCCAGTTCATGATCTTGCTATCTCTACAGTCAATCTTTGGGATCACAGGAATATGCCGCCTCTCCTGGCTTCCTCTAGTAATTCTTTTAACTGACTGGCTCAGGCCAGAGAACACAAATCCCAAACACAGGTAGCCATGCTAGAAGCCATGTCTGCTCCCCATTCCAACAGTAATGTTCCTTCACCCTGAGGGGATTTGACCTAAATGTTGTTGAGAACGTAGGTTCTGTGAAGTCTTTGCTGTGGGCTCCTTTGCTGTTTCTTCCCTTTGAACAATGGAAACTGATGACATGGCAAGTCACATGACCACTGGAGAAACAGCTTTGAGGCTCCTTTCCTGTGCCCAGCCTCCTGGAAGGAGGAGATGATGAATAAACACTCCCATTGAAGACTGGCCAGACCATCATCCTGGCATTCTGCTTGTGTGAACACCCAGGGATGCTCAGAGGAGACACCACCCCAGCTGCCAAGATCACTGTGACCATGGCTGCTGCTGAGTTCAGCCTCAGGAGGCTTGGATCCAGTTACACCACTGCAGACATCTCACAGCTGCCTCAGGAGACGTCACTTCAGCCAGGAGAAGCCCGGGTGACTTCTCCAGGACCCCTCCTGTCTTCAACCAGTCTCATGGGAATTGGGGACAGTTTCTTAATAGACTCATCAAGTTGATATGCCATGAGACATGATTAGTAAGTGTGGTGATATATTGTGCACCCCAATAAACCTTATCTGGGGATCAGAGGACAGAGCCAGCCACTAGATTAGACATAGATATCAGAATGTAATGGCACATATCCTTAATCCTATCACTGGGAGACAGTGATTTGTGTGGAGATCTGTGTGGATCTCTGTGAGTTCAAGATCACAGTGGGAACAGAGCCAAGTGTGTTGAAACACACCTTTAATCCAAGCACTTAAGATCTCATGCCTTTGCTTGGGAAGCATATATGCCTTTAATTCCAGGAAGTAAGATGGCTGGGCAGAGAAAGGTATATAAGGCCTGAGGAAACAGGAACTCACTGTTCTGAGTCTGAGGATTTCCTAGAGGTAAGAACTAGTGGCTGGCTTGTTCTAATCCTCTGATCTTTCAACTTTCACCCCAATAACTGGCTCTGGGTTTTTAATTTTTTATTAATAAGACTGTTTAGCAATTTGTGCTTAAAAAAGAAAAAGGGTTGATAGCTCCAGGGACAGGACAGGAACAGCAGCGTCGTGCTCTCGGGACCAGAGGCAGACACAGGACATCAGAGCCCACAGGGCAGAAGTGGGGGTTCTCTTCTTGTACCTATCCAAGGACAGGATGTGTCCGAGCACAAGACTGCACCCATGCTCCCTGATTCCCAGGCAGGGGACAGGGAAGTGGTGAGATGCAGGATGTGTGGCCATCTCCAGGTCCCTTGCATGGCTCTCATAAAAAAATTCCCCAAACAGCCTGTCTTAACCACGTTTCATTGCTGTGAAGAGACCCCATGACCATGGAAACTCTGATAAAGGAAAACATTTAATTGGGGTTGGCTTACAGTTTCAATAGTTTAGTTGATTATCCCCAAGGTAGGAAGGATGGTGGTACACAGGCAGGCATGGTGCTGGAGATGTAGCTGAGCATTCTACATTCAGAGAGCAGACTGCAGGAAGAGAGGGGGAGACACTGGTCCTGGCTGGAGGATTTGAAGTGTGAAAGTCCACCCTCACTGACTCAGTTCCTACAGCAAGGCCACACCTGCTCTAACAAGGCCACACATCCTATGTGCCACTGCCTTGTGACAAAGCATACCAATCCTTGAGCCTATGGGGGTCATTCTTTTTCAAATCACCACACAGCCCCTCAGCTGCTCCTTTAGATGACAGGCTTTCCCCTAGCTGGGGTTCATCTTTAGTCTGCTGGCCTGTAGGAGAAGAAACAGTGTCAGTGTGGCAGCCATGCTGATCCTCCATCTGCCTCTCAGCTCTTCTCTGTGTTCAGACAACATCAGGGGGCCAGGGCAGCAAATAGCTCTGCAGCAGACATTCAGGGACAGCTCTGAGAGTCAGCAGGACCTGAGGACGGTCCTCAGCTGTCCCTCTACACAGCACAGCCAATCAGAGGACAGCTCTCCTGGTCCTTTGTCCCTTGTCCATGTCCTTCTCCCTCTGCTTCCTTCCCCTGCCTTGAACCCATGTCTCCTCCCTCCTTTCCCTGCTCTGCACTCACCATGCCTCCCTTTTGTCTCCCTTTGTCTCTCTAGCTCTCCCTGTGAGTGCAGGCTGCTGCCACCCTGCAGATTCAGGCTCAGGGTTCAAATCCCAGTCAGACTTCTGCTGCCTCTCAGGCTGCTGCTCTCCAGCTCTCAGATGCTCCTCTTACCTGTTGGAGGGCTGAGCCCTTCTGAATCCCAGGGGCCACATCTTCAAACATTATTTCTGCTCTCTCTGTTACACTCCACACTCTGCTCATCTCTGCTCCTGTCCTGCAGTCTTCTAGTCACCATGGCTTTAGATCTGCTCTGAACACAGTCCACACTTGGCTCTTGTGTTGTGTGAGCACAAGGTCTCAAGGAGACCAGGTTAACCTGTAACTTCTATATATGTGCAGATGGCCTTCAAGTCCAGATCCTTCTGTCTCTATTTCTCAGATACTGAGTTTAGAGATGTTCCCAGCTGTGTCCCCATATTTGTTTCTCAGAATCTATAAGAATGTTAGAAGACAAGTAATTTGTCTTTACATAAATGCAATAGGAATTGAATAGGGATTACATTGATTTCTAACTTCTTTTGCAGTATAAGTACTTAGAGTATACATCTTCCATTATGCAAATATCCTTACTTTTTTTTAGTACTCCTTAAATTTTTTAAAAATTTGTATTTAGACTGTATATACATACATATATATACATATATATGTATATTTGCATACATGCACACACATGAGGATGGCAGAGAACTACCTTAGTCATTGACCTGCATGATCTGAGACATCCCCATATTCCCTTGATATCCTTAGGGGCAGGCTCTGTGTTCATCTGTACCTGATCCAGCAGGTCTCTAAAGAAAGTAGGAGACCATTCAGTCCTTGTTTAATTAAGTCACATTCCTGTCCTTCTGTTCTATTTACTTTTCCCTGCACCTCTTTACCTTTCTCCATGTCTCACAGCTGAGAAACTCAGACGGGAAGCTCAGGTGAGGCCTGTCCTGGACCACTTACCTTTTCTTCCTCCAGAGGAAGATCATCAATACACAGATGGGGGTTATGAGCACAGCCGTGGCCAAAACCACCCCGACCATGGCTCCCAGGTTCACAAGTGAAGGATTCCTCTGGCCCTCTGTGTCCTCCAGGCCAGCTGTGGTGACTGCAGAGGTGATGATGGAGGGGCTCTGCATGGTGGTGCTGATGCCTGGGGAGAGATGAGGAGTGAGCAGATCCCCTGGATGAGGGAGGGATGGGGTGAGTGTCACACCTTGTCTCCTCTGTGAGATGTGAGATGGGGAACAGCTGTGAGAAGTTCACAGAGGGGATCACATGCTGAAGGCTGAGACTCCAGGAGAGCAAGCTCGAATATTCACTCTCCACCTGTCCTGGAGCTGTGTCCTCAGATTGTCATCTGGTCACAGATAATTATGCCATAGAAATACAGTTGTTTATCACAGATGTAGGTAATATGCAGACATGTCTCAGTTCACAGAGTGTTGGCTACTTGCTGCCTCAGAATTGAGTTTGATCCCTAGTAGTTATGTAAAGAGCTGGATGAACTTGTCATGGCCTTTAATCTTAACCCACGGGGCAGAGGCAGGAGATCTTCACAAGTTCAAAGCCAGCCTCATCTATAAGTAGAGCTTCACACCAAAGAGGGCTAGTGAGCTGTAATCCCAGCCCTGAGGATATGAAGACAGGAATGTCTCTGGTTCTCACTGCCCATCCAGCCTCATCTACTTGGCAAACTTGAAGCTAGTGAGAGACCCTGTCTCAAAATAAGGGAAGGACACCTGAAGTTGTCCTCTGGCCTACATATGCACATGAAGAAATAGGAACATTAACACACACATAGACACCTGGAGAAACAGGCTTACATGCTCACACACAGAGAATACATAAAAATATATAACAGAAAATGCATAATTTTAGCCATAAGTGTACAACTCAGTGCAGGACAGAGTGCATTCATTTGCTCTACAAAAATCACTGTTATTAATCCACAAATTACCTATTTGGAAACAACAGTTTCCCAACCTGTTGTTTGCTATCCCCAGAGTGGTGAATATAAGACATCCTGCATATCAGACATTTACAGTATGATTCATAACAGTATCAAAATCACAATTATGAAAGAGGAATGAAAATAATTTTATGGTGTAGGGTGGTCATCACAACATGAGGAACTGTATTAAAGAGTCTCTGCATTAGGAAGGTTGGGAATCACTACTCTAGACCCAAGAAACAGCTCCTTTCTCCCCCTGCCCAGAGCCCTGGAAGCTGCTGGTTGACATTACATCAGGTAAACATGGCAGCCACACAGACTGTGCAGAGAACTGTGCTGTGGGTGTCCTCTCACAGGGTGGCTTAATCCAGTCAAGAGCCACAGCTGGATGTGGTGGCACAGGCCTCTAATCTCAATACTTGGGAGACAGAGGCAGGTAGATTTCTGTGAGTTCCAGAACAACAAGGGCTAAATGGTGAGACCCTGTCTTATAAAAATTAAAATACTAAAATATAAAGAAAGAGCCACAGAGCAAGACTGTGATCAACAACTAAGCACAGAGTCTCCCAGCTGCTGCAGGGCCATGGGAAGAGCACAGGGGTAACAGTCACAGAGAGACCAGGATGGACCTCAGTGCTCCCTGTGCATGGGACTGCAGTTACTTCTGCTGCAGAGGAGAGGCAGGGATCAGAAGACAGAACAGCCACATCATGAAAATGGGGACGTTATTTCCCAAGAGCCTTGGAGCTTGTGTGGGAGAGGTGAGGGTAAGAGGGTAAGGAAGGAGAGAGGGGGTTGTGAAAGTGGAGGGGACAGGGAGTTGGGTAGAAAGAGGTGAGGGGTGTGTGCTGGGGAGCTAGGAGGTGAAATGGGGGACTGTGGTGCTAGATGGCAGTTTACACTTAGACTGGAGGACTCCAAGAACATCCGGTGGGCACCTGCTGTTTGTTTTGGGCTTAGGTTGAGCTGTGTGGAGATTCTCTATACAGGGACTCAGGGGAGCCCTGCTATGGACCAAGTGAGTCAGCTACATCCTGGAGAAGTCACTCAGTTGAGGTCCTGGAGAAGTGGCCTGGCCTGAGTGTTAGCTTGGGACAGGTAGGGGGTGAACTTACTCGGGGGGGCAGGCTGAATCCTAAAGAGGGCATAGGTTTCCATCTTAGAAGAAAATGACAGACAAGGTCAGAGGAGGCAGCAAAGACTTGTCACAACTACAGGGAATGATTTGTTTGCAGAGGCCTGGGCAGAGCCAAGGGAAAGGAATATGAAAGAAATCTCAGAGTTGTGGAGCCTGAGGTGACATCTAGGGGACAAATAAGCCAGAGGCATCAAAGCCAGAGCCAGGGTGGCTCACCATGGGTGATGGTCAGCTGGGTCCCTGCAATTGACTGCAAACCCTTCATGCCTTCTGTTGTGTTCAGTTGAACTTGGCAAAAGTACTTTGTCTGGTCCTTCTCCTTCAAGTCCAGGATTCTGAGGCCTCTGGATGTCTGAGGCTGTGTCCAGTTCAGGAAGAGCCGGTTCTTGAAATGCTTATGTGTGTAACCTGAGGAGGAGTTGTAGATAAATTCCCCAAGGAGGTGTTGCCATTTCCAGAGAATCCTCATCTGTGGATTCTGTGCCATCTCCCAGGGGAAGGAGAAGGAGAAAGGAATCTCGATGGAGCTGCCCTGGATACTGGAGAGATTTGTTGGTTGGTTGACTCCAAAGGTACTTTTATTCTTGGATCCTGCTGAGTTACCTGGGAAGGATGGGGGAATCTGAAGTCTCTGCAGAGAATGGAAAGGACAACTCAGAGCTACCTGATCCTTGACCCACAGGCAGGTGTGGGACACAGGGCAGGACTGTCCCTATGTTCCACTGTCCCATATGGGACAGAACAGACAAGGAAGGGTTAGACTGGACCCACTCTGAGAATGAGTCTCTCTAAGGACAGTCTGTCTCTCTGGCTCCTCTAGCAGACCTCTGTCCACATGACAGCCTGCTCTTCCCAGCCCCACTGGCCCCTCCTGTGGTTAGGGCAGAGTCCCTGCTAACAAGGTCCCCACCACTCACCAGCTTGCAGACACGCAGCTGACATCAGCAGAAGCAGGATCCAAGCCATGGCCTGATTCCCTCTAGGAAATGAGACCAGCAGAGCCATCAGGAAGGAGAGGAGCCCTGTGCAGGGACCCTGGGGTGTTCAGGAGTCAGGAAGAATTGGGGTCAAGGGGCCCACAACCCCTGAGTTTTCTCATGTGGAGGACAGATGGAGGAGGACCTTCCCATCTCCACCTCCTTGTGACCAGCAACTTCTTTCATGATTCTGCCTTCTTCCTTCCCACGTTGCAGAACATCCTTCCTTGTGGTTACTGACAGGATGGCCGTGCCCTTGAGCCCAGATCCCATTTTTGCCAGGAAGATATGCAATTGACTGTAGACGAAATTCTAAACAGTCTTATTAAATAAGAAA